TGTTGAAGAAATAAACGCTGAGAATAGATTATTTCCTCTATCACAACAAACTTGTCTCAGGAAAAAAAAACAGCAACACAACAACGGTTTAAGAGATGATTATTTAATTAATCTGTTAAATAATTTTATTGATATTTGCTCTGATAAAATAATTAATAATGTAACAACGGTATAAGAGATGAATATTTAATTAATCTGTTAAATAATTTTAGTGATAATTTCTCTGATAAAATAATTAATAATGTAACTCTAGACCTTACCCTAACCATTATCCCGAACCCTTATCCCTAACACTAACACTTATCCCTAACCCAAAGACCGAACCCCAAACCTGAACCCTTAACATTCGAGTGTTGAGTGAAAGCCTGAACCCTGCCACTTCACAGATTTAATGGCTGTGTGATACAGTTTAGAGGTGGAATTACAGGGAATGTATTTCATCTTTCGTTACATAGTGGTAGAGTCAAGAATTCTATTTGCTTCAAGTACAAATGTAGCAAGTTTTTGTGTTACTTCATAATGAGAAAAGCGCAAGTTGTAATGTTACTTCAAAGTACAAATCAGTTTTTTTTCCAGACTTTTCTCTTCGGAGGGGGGGGGGGGGGGAAAGGGGGGGCACTTTATATTTTCGGGGAGGGGGGGGTCAACATTTTCCGGGGGGGGTGGGACACTAATAAAAGTATGTTTACTATATAAATTACATCCGAAGAGATGCCTGGATGAAACTCTGGTACAAATGTAGTAAGTTCTAGTGTTCGTATGTACCATGAACCTCAGTAAATAAAGTTTTAGAACAAAATTAAGATTTATCTCATATTACAGTGATCTCCCCTGACATGAAATGTTATATTTAGCTGTACTTTGACTCGGCAAAGAACTTGTCCATCCCTTACCGTCATCGTTGTCCAAGTTTTCACACTTTTCCGTTATGACGGCCCCCGTCCGGACAGAGGTCAAGGTCAGGCATTTCCTCCACAGTCCGAAGTGGGCCTCCACCCTCGTGTCGTTGACCCCCTGGTACAGCTCGTTGTCGAACCCGCACCAGCGGTCCGTGCTGAACCCGATGACGTAAGCAATTAGTCCTGTAGAGGGGAGGGGGGGAGGTGAGAATGGAACAAGTTTATTTACTATTTAAAAAATTAAAAATAAATACATAGTTATCAAATACATTTTAAAAATCACGTTTAAAAAAATGCCCAGAGTTATTGTTACTGAAAGCGGACTACTCCTCCTGACCCAGAGTTACCGTTACTGAAAGCGGACTACTCCTCCTGACCCAGAATTACAGTTACTGAAAGCGGACTACTCCTCCTTACCCAGAGTTACCGTTACTGAAAGCGGACTACTCCTCCTGACCCAGAGTTACCGTTATTGAAGGCTGTCACTACTCTATAACTAAGGTCAGAGTAGAAGATTTGGGTTGTTTCTCTTGATGACTTTATTTCACCAGCGTTCAATTTTCTGCAAGGCCATTCCCATAGAGTCGCCATAGACCATTCTACACATGTTTAAGGTGTCCATCAAAGCCGATAGGTACCCCCCCCCCCCCACACAAACTTCGTCTAAAAAAAACCCACACTCACCTTAAAATGAGATTACCAAGTCCCATCATTATCATCTTAAACTATTATAAACCTTACTCACATTAATTAAAATATGTTAAAACTATTTTATTATTTTTTAGGTGTACAACTCGTAACCCCACTCATTCGTCCCCCCTATAATACTCTGTCACAAAACTTAGATCCAATTCCTTCCACCCCCCACCCCCACCCCCTTTTCCTTTGTTGCCCTGAACACTTGGGTAGGGGTGGACTGGGCCGCTAGAAAAAAAACCTGTGTGTCGCCCCCCCCCCCCCCGTGGGTCGCCAGCATTTATTTATTTCCCGGTCGGCTTAGACACAGCCAGTCCACCTTTACACTTGAGAGTGAGACCACCAACAATAACAATAACAACAATAACAATAACAACAACTATAACAACAATAACAACAACAACAACAAGAACAAGATCAACAATAACAGCAATAACAACAACAACAATAACAACAACAATAACAACAACAACAATAACAACAACAACAACAACAACAACAATAACAACAACAATAACAACAACAATAACAACAACAATAACAACAACAATAACAACAACAATAACAACAACAATAACAACAACAATAACAACAACAATAACAACAACAATAACAACAACAATAACAACAACAATAACAACAACAATATCAATAACAACAACAATAACAATAACAACAACATTAACAACAATAACAATAACAACAATAACAACAGCAGCAACAAGAACAACAACAACAATAACAACAACAATAACAACAACAATAACAACAACAACAACAAGAACAAGATCAACAATAACAACAACAACAATAACAACAATAAAAACAACAACAACAACAACAACAATAACAACAAAAATAAGAATAACAACAATAACAACAAAAACAATAACAACAACAGTAACAACAACAATAAAAACAATAACAACAACAACACCAACAACAAAAACAACAACAATAACAAACCCCAGGGACGACTTAATCGGAGCTAGAAAACAAAGTACGATTACCATAATACTAAACATTAATTTTAAATGGGATAACTGCAGTGACAAGATTGTAAACAACGTACCAACCTCTAACCTTTAAAAAAGGAATATAAAAACATGAGATCATCCAGCAAGGTGACTATCAACACGTTAACCTTTAACCTTTTAAAATGAGCTCACCTAACAAGGTGACTAACAACACGTTAACCTTTAACCTTTTGAAATAAGCTCACCTAACAAGGTGACTATCAACAATTTAACCTTTAACCTTATAAAATGAGCTTAAAACATGAGCTCACCTAACATGGTGAAAACACCTCGTTCACCTTTAACCTTTTAAAATGAGCTCACCTATTATTGTGACGAAGATTCCAATCCTCCACAACCAGCTGGTGCCTTTAAATCCTTCGTCATCCTGGGCTGTCAGACAATAAATATTTACATAATGTATAAAGTGTTGTCTTGACGGGTTAGCACAATATTTACATAATATTTTTATTGACGGATTAGCACAATATTTACATAAATAATGTTTTTTATTGACGGATTTACTGAATATTCAAATAATTGTTTTTACTTTCTCGTATATACGAAGTATAGAGAAAGTCTTGTAATCGTGCAAAAAAAAAAAATCGAGATTTTTACAAATCTCGACGTTTCACACCTCACTGATACGGAAAAACATAATTTTGCAATCTTGTCCGTATGTCTGTGTGTCTGTGTGTCTGTCTGTCCGTGTGTAAACACGATAACTTGAGTACCGTTACAGCTAGGTTGATGAAATTTCATATATAGGTATTTAATCAAAATCGTAGATCCGTATCAACTTTTGAGCGATTTCCGATAACCGAAAGTGGTACTTTTCCTACTTTGAATTTTTCAAAAGCCTATAACTTGAGTACTATTTCAGATAGATAAATGAAATTTCATATGTAAGTAAAAGATCTAATTCTCTACCTTCTATTAAATTTTGAGTCATTTCCGTTGACTGGAAGTAGTACTTTACGCTACTTCCGATTTCTCAAAAAACTAATGTAAATTTTAAAAGTAATAATAATATTGCGCACCATAATGCGCTTTTTTATTTGGCGTTCACTTGGTGTGCAATTAATTTGTCTACGAGATTTTATTCTATTTTTAAAACTTTAAGTATTTAAAATGGATTAAAAATCATGTCTATAGCCCGAGTTCCCATACCCTGTTATTTTATATAAGAATATTCGAGAAAGTTTAGGGGAGATCACTCCCGGTTTATTTAGTGACGGATTAGCACAATATTTACATATTATTTTTATTGCACAATATTTACATAATATTTTTATTGACGGATCAGCACACTATTTACATAATACTTTTATTGATGGATTAGCACAATATTTACTTAAATAATGGTTTTTGTTGACGGATTTACTGAATATTCAAATAATTGTTTTTTTATTGACGGATTAGCACAATATTTACATATATTTTGTGTTGACGGGTTAACACGTTCACTTAAGTGGAGTTTTTATTCATGTTTTAGCACACTATTTACACTAACATTTTTAATATTGACGGATTAATATAATATTTACATAAACATTGTGTTTATTGGAATGCATTTGCTAGAGAATTTAAATTTATTTGCATAGATTAATTACGTAACTCACAAACGCCAATAAAAAAAATACACTGAAACAATACAAAGCATCGTGCTATATTTAGCGTGGGCGCACCGATAAAATCTCCTCGACAAAACGACCATTATTGCAACGGTTGCCAAGGAAAACTAACACACGGGCTTGTCTTTATTTTTAGCAGTGACGTATTAATTTGGGTGGAAGGGCTAGCCAGGCTGCAGGCAAGGGCCCAGATGTATCCGTTCACAGGCTGTTAGCTCATGTGGGTGTTATAGAGCTGACAACAAGATGGGAAGAATGACATCAAACATGAGCTTAACGATGTCTGAGACAGTATGAAGCTACATGGAAAATAGTTGTGTGATTATCGATGCGATGAACATCTACTATGGTGTTTATTAAGGTGGAGATGTGCAACTAACAATGGGGGCTTGTGAGTGGGGATAGCCCTTACACAGCTTGAGTCTCGTGGGCTGGGGTGTGTGTGGGGGGGGGGAATAAATAGTGACGCAATTTTAGGGTGGAGGGGATGTTAATTTTTTTTTTTGTGTCGATTAAGGGGGATGGGTTAAAATGTGACATCGTTTATGAACGACCACTTAAACGTGTGTAGTAACACGCAGTAAAATGTGTACATCCGTGTAACCGTGTTAACTGGTGTGTTCCCGTGTTGTCGAGTGAGCTACACACAGAGGCGTAGCGAGGGGGGAGGGAGCGGGAGGTGCGGACCGCACCGGGTGACACCATTTAGGGGGGTGACACCAAGGCAAAAAATAGCAAAATATATAGAGAAAAACTTGAGGGGGGGGGGGTGCAAAGCGAAAGTTTGAGGGGGAGGGGGGTGCAAATCGAAAACTGGGGGGGGGGGCTGCAAATCGAAAATTTGAAAGTTTGGGTGTTACCATTAAGTGCCGCACCGGGTGACACCCGACCTTGCTACGCCACTGGCTACACACTAACTGTTCTTACACAGAACAGGCGTGCTGTCGTGTGTACCGGTGTGTAACGGTGTGCACATGTGTGCTGCGTGTCACCTGGTGTGTTGTGTGACGTCCAAACGTTAAGGTGTCTGACGAAGCTCCCCCCAGCTGTGACCGTATTTAAACAGTGTTACAGCCACTGTCATGGTAATTTATGCAGGTGGAATCAATTAATTTTTATGCTCTACTGCCAAAGCCGGTAATGACAAAACAGATGGAAAGTTTAACAAAAAGTAATTAAAATAACATTTTGGAAACGTTTGATAAAATGAACCTCACCTTAAAAAAACCAAAACCCGGCATTTTAAACTCTCTCCATAATCTAACGCATTACTGACGCATTTCCATAATGTATTAGCCTGACTTAACACTGACTCATTATTTAAATAGCTGCTTGCTAATTTAGTGACTCATCGTGGTTCTCACTTTCAGTACATGGTGGCCCAGACATTTTCACTCTAAGTATCGATGGTGCCTTCCTTAACACCCCCACCCCACTGTGTATTACGCAACTTGTAAACTACGCCGAAGATCTGCACTTAGCAAAAATTTCATATCTATATATATATATAATTCTCTTCTGGGAGACGTTAGAAAACAAGCTGCAAGCGCGCCTTGCAGTCCCCTCTCTTTCTTTCTATTACTATCACTACCACCCCCACCTCACTCCCACATGGTCTGGTGAGATGTGGTCACGCTAAATGTTTACAAATCGTAAAGCCGGGTTTAGTGACGGCTATTAGGGGCAGATAATTTAGTTTGAAACGATTTTAAACTTACAGGAGGTAACTAAGAGGAGGGGGGGGGTGTAGGGTCGGGGTTAGGGGAAAGTGGGAGGGGGGTCAGTGTTTTAAAGCAAATATTTTCAGTGGCAGCCTTGGTACTGTCGAATTCACAATTTATGAATTACTGAAAAGTAGAAAATAAAACAACTAAATAGCAGCGTATGATACGCCGCGGGTCGGCTCGTTCCTCATATTTCTCACGGCAGAAAAACATTTTATTTTTCCGGCCTTGGCATCGTTCGTGCCGGTCACACAGACCGGCATCGTAAGGACAGCAATACATTATCAAGCGTCAGTGTTTTTAATCGTTGGCATGGAAACACGAAATGGCGAATGTATTCCGTTTTCGGGTTAATAAACAACAGTTAAAACCGATTAAACTAGACTGCTAACCCGTAAGTCCCGAGTTCAATTCCGGGTTCAAGTCAGTAGACCGTCACTGAGTCCACCCAGCTCTGATGAGTACCTGACTCACGTTATGGAAAGTACACGCGGCTGTCAAAATGCTGACCACACTATCCTTTTATATGCCGAGGTCACAGAAACAGGTGAACGCTACATCGCTTGCCGCATAGACCGCCAGGCTTTGAAGGGGAACTTTACTTACTTTACTTAAAACTGATTAGGGTGCTGTTGTTTGTGTCTGATAAGTCCGGCACCTTGGGCCTAGAATACAATACAAAAATATGACATCCGACCAACTTACACTATACGACGTACTGTAACATATCCTTAGCAGACCAGCTGCTAGTATTATTGTAAAACTTTTCTTGGACAAACCACTACAAAATGTAATAGTACTTAATTTTTTTAAATTTTACAATAAAATATGAAACACCATTTAAGAAAGGTGTTACGTAACATTGCTCCATACCCCTTCTTCCCCAATATAACATAATACACCAATCTCTCCATAATATAACATGATACACCAAAACCCTCCAGTATAACAGATGATATTCCTCACCCTCCCCAATATAACAACACCCAGTGCCGGCGCCAGGTTATTTAGCGCCCTATGCAAAACTCATTTAAACGCCCTCTTTCACACACATTAATTACTAACACATATGTATAAGAAAACAATTTAAAGTGACATATTAATGTATTGTTAATTGTATACACGTTATAAGTACACACCAAAATAAAATTTTACTTGCCTCCTTCGTCTCAAAAGTTTGTACTAATTCCTTCAATTCCAGTGTGCAAGCGTAATTTCATTTTTGTTGAAATTGTTGTTAAGTGCACAAGTCTACTTTGTACTTTACGACATAGCCCCCCCCCCCTCCCTCTCCCCCTTAGAAAATTTAAAGTGCTTCTCCCCCCCCCCCTCCCACCACCGGGAGAAAAATGTCTGGAAAAAAAACCACTGAATCAAATAATTCTTGTAGTGTTGGGCTCTCTGCAGCCCTCCCAAGGTGAGTTCCATAACGGAACGCTTGACTGTTTTCAGTTATAATTGTAAAATGTCTATATTGTGTGATTGTGTAACGATTTTTTGGTTTTTGAAAAATAAAAGGTTATAAATAATATAGATTCCAGCCTAAAATTGTTATATATGAATCCTTTAGGAGAGGGTGAAAAATATGAAAAGACAATTAATTAGATGTTTAATTTACGACTAAGACTGTATGTCTACTAACATTAAGTATTGCAATCTATAACGGCTACTAATGTATTTGTTTTTCAACTTGATAATGCTAAAAAAACCTAACAAACTATTTAGTTTAGACCTGCTCTATATAATTTTCACAACAGCAAACAATATCTTAAATATGTATTTATATGTAGGCGGTCAACCTAAGGTGCAGGAATTTGAAATTGATGTAAAGTTAAGCAACGAATTATCTCCCTTTTGAAAATCCAAATACCACAATTTTATTCAAGGGAAATAACTTTCACAAGAATAGCTAAATTAACCTAGTGTAACTAAGACATGCATGAAAAACACAATAAAACGCTTTAAATTGCATTACTTAATAATTATAAGAAAATCTTTTATATCAGCTATGTTACCTTGTAAAAACAATATCTTTTACTTATTGAATACTTAACTGTAGGTTTTGTTTGAAAGTCTAAAAGTGGTAGCTTTATTATAACATACTTCTATTCAATCTCGATGACATACTTTTCAGTGTGACCTACGTAAAAGTAAAAATGTAAAATTTTGGATCCCTTAAATAAAGGGACGCCTTTCAAACAAACGCGGGTAACTATTTTAGCCGTTGCTAGAATTATTGATGAAATATTAAAAAAAAATTGAAAAAACAAAGTTTGCGGTTAGTTATCAATTCCATCCTATTTAATATTATATATTAATACCTTCAGAGTGGTAATATAGATTCCTAAAAACTAAAGATTTTTCAACTAGGGAACGCTACCGTTCTTTGTAGTGTGTTCCGTAATGAATTGAAATCATCTAACTTATGATAAACTCGACTACTCGATAATATACTCTACAACATTGACAACACATCAAATTTCGATAACTAAACATAACCAGACTCGATGCTCCAGAACTACGACACCACCTCGCTTAACTTCACTCAGCTCTACAAACGGTACTCCCAACCAACAACGATTTCACTGGACATACTACTACACTTTAACAGTCAATATAATGCGATACCTTAATTTCACAAGAGTCAATACTCCCGAACTCCAGAACTACGATACTTCATCACCTACATTCTCATTTCTTTATTACCAATCAGATTCAACTAGACCTACAACTACACAACAGCCAAATAAAAAATAACACTTTAACACTTAGATACTTTATACCAACGAAACCAAATCAGCAACAGCCTTCCGCCGTTACTCCCAAAACTAAACGATTCATCAAAACTTGCCAAACAAGTACAATACTTTGAATACCCCGTCATTACAAAACTCTATACACCAGAACAGATTTCTAATTCAAAGTCAGAGAAAACGAGACTTGCAAGCCCTATTAAAATTAAATAACGTGGGGTTGCATTTTTACCATCGCAAATAAATATAGGCACATATAGACCTAATTTTGGGGTGGGGGTTCAAAATTGATAGTTCGTCCCGGGTGCCGAAATAGATCGCTACTTCTATATCAAATTTATTATTAGGTACTTTTTGATAATAGCGATTAATAGCGATTAAACATTTTGCGCCCCACTAGGGATGGCGCCCTAGGCGACCGCCTAGTTCGCCTTATAGGTAGCGCCGGCCCTGACAAGACCCTACCCCAGGGGTCGGCAACCTTTTGAAGCGGAAGAGCCAAAAGTTACAATTTTCAAAATTTCCATGGTTTTAAAGAGCCAATAACATCTTTTTATTTCAAATATTTTATTTTTTTATTAAGATTATTAGTATTTGTGCAAGGAGCTGGAGAGCCGCATCTTGATATCAAAAGAGCCGCATGCGGCTCGAGAGCCGCAGGTTGCCGACCCCTGCCCTACCCTATTTGTATTTTATACACGATCTCTCATATACATTTAAAAAACGAAATAATAAAGCATGAAAGATTGGACATTGGCTTTTTTGAAAACAAGTCACACATTACCCAAAACATATCGGTAGATGCCAAAATAGTCTAATATGTGAAGACAACGGTCTATAAATAGCCTTCCGCACGTGCTGTTGTAATTAATCACGTGTCATTACATTAAAAATTCCGTGAGAAAGCAATGTACTGTTCTGGTGAGCCTGCTAAAGCTATTTTTAGTTTGGGGTTACCTTGACCTGATGTTTTATTATTTAATTCAGGTAATTTTAAAAAAAAAAAAATATTTATCAAAAGATCAGAAAAAAATCTTAAAATTTTCAAAATGCGCTTATTCACTATTCACACTAGAACATTCCCCAGTCACTATTCACAATAGACCGTTCACTATTCATCTCCACACAACCTGTTTGTTATGATGGTAATTATAAAACGTGAGTAATTAAGGAAGGTGTGGCGGGTTGATGACGCCACAGATAATTGTTTACGTTGGTGTGGTCGTGGGGGGGAAATAAAAAAACCACCACCACCAGCAGATGTCGTCACCTGGGTCGGTGGTGTGGTCGTGGAGGGAAAATAAAACCACCACCACCAGCAGATGTCGTCACCTGGGTCGGTGGTGTGGTCGTGGAGGGAAAATAAAAACACCACCACCAGCAGATGTCGTCACCTGGGTCGGTTGTAGCTGAGTACCTGTGACTACCTCTGTCTTGGTAGTTTGGATACTTCCTGTAACTACCTGTCTGCGCTCTTTTGTCGTGCACTCTTTTGACGAGTCACCCCTGTAACTACCTCTGTTATTTTGGGCAATTCCTGTAACTAACTCTCTTGGTAGTTTGGCTAGTTCAAGTAACTACCTCCCTCTTGGTAGTTTGGGTAGTTCCTGCGATCACATCTCTTGGTAGTTTCTGTAAATTCTTTAACTACCTCTCTTCGAAGAGTCTAGTTGCGCATTTATCGATGTGCGCATATTTCTATGTGCGGATTTTTCTAATAACGCAATTTTTTCTTTGCGCATTTTTGTGAGTATTTTTCCATTGCGCTTTTTTTACCCGTTGCGTTTCTTTCCAGTCACCGAGCAATAAAGGGGAAGGTGGTGAAGATCGAGATGGGGGTGACTGGGAAAAGGCGGTTAAATTTTAAATATAAATTTTTCTAAATCACCTGGAAAGGTTACAATTGTCAACATAGAAAAAATATCAAATTCCTAAACATACTCGCATTTACCATCATCTAAAGCTGCTGTCATAATTCATTTGTTTTAGACCTCATTTGTTGGCTTCGTGGTAAGAAAAGAAAAAAAAACACCACTCGGTAATAGTGAATCACGTCTTTTGAAAATAAACCCGGAGATAGATGTAAAGTATGGGAATAGTCTATGAGATAATCGAATAATTATTTTAAACCGATACTTTCAGAACTATAAACAGCAGAGATCTAAATACAAAAATTGCAGAACAAAGCTAAGGTTAGAGATTATAGTCGTCTGCTTTTGATATCTCAGGGAATTACTAAAATATAAACATACTATCTGATCAATGGTGGACCTTCAATCCCTTAAAAAAATAAAAAATAAAGTAAAATAAAAACTTGGAGTGTACGGGACAATACGAAACAACACAGTTTAATTTTCCCATTACAGACTTTACCCTCCCCTCCCCACCAGAGATTGCCATTAACGGATAAAACAGTTTTTTGAAAGTGATCTGTTATCACCTGATTCATCACGGACCTTTTAATTAAAATAATTATCAAAATTACGTTTAAAAACATGTTTTTCACATTCGATATATCACCATAATACATCAGTAACTTTAGCATTATAAAAACCTTCATACAATGTTATACACGATATTATACACTAGCATATTAAACTTGTCACTTATGTACACATTTTGCAGTTTGTTATAATCCACAAACGCAAGTAATTTATTCACGAAAACATGTACTTAATTTACCAAAACAAGTTATTTGTTGCAATCTTGCAACATCGTCCAATTTAAAAGTAAAAGGCTGATAGTGTACTGTATCGTGATGATAATAAACACATGGTGTTCGTACTTTCCAGCTGTATAAAATTGTATTTTTATCTAATTAAATTTTACTGAAGCTAATGAGATAATTGACATTTTTACGCTTGTATCTGTCAAATGGTTTATTTCCCTAGAGAAAGTGCGTATCCTCTAACTAAACTACAGAGGTTCAAAATCCTACTGGTCACTTACCCCGAAATGTGGGTGGAGGGGGGTTTGTGGGGGGGGGGGGGATTTGAATAACAATATCATGACCTTATTTGTAATTAATAAATAGTCTAGATAACAACATCAGGGATCGTGTATATGTTATATGTTTGTAATACGAAAGGGGGTTGTTTATTTTTATTTTATAGTGTTATAATAAAAGGAAAATATTCATGTATGGGGTGATTAAAGAAAAAACAACGATTTTTTCCTAATTATTACCCCCCCCCCCCCCCCACAATTTTTGTTATGGTCGGTTAAAAAGGTCGACACAACTAGGTAGAACATTCTTGAAGTGGTATTACACATAACATGAGGCTGCACAGCTGTTTTGGATGAAGTGGGTGGGTTGTGGATATGTTGAACAATGGGGGCGTGGTGAGGTGATGTGTCCTATGCAAATTTTGTATACGTTACTTATTTTAAGAAGGTGATGTCTTTTTTTGTTGTACACTAGCATGGTCTGTTACCCACATAACAAAATCCACTATACGTAAATTCCCATATTCGAATGGCAACTAGAAAAAGATTTCACAAGGCGAAGTTATTATACAAAAACTTACCAAGAGTTAGCGCCCTTAGCTTCATTTCTTAGTTTCCAGGGAAGTAACTCTCTCCAAATTTAAGAATTAAAAGTAAAATCTTTGCCGCTCTAGGACAGATGGCGAATAATTTTTATCACATTTTGTTTGGTAAAACTGCAGCACTGAAAGCAAGTTTTGGAGAAAACACACCGTGAAGCAGAAGTTTCGATACCAGAGCTAAACCTGTCGCCTGCATGGGTTGAGCATCGAGTACCACGCGCTGGTGACGCGAGTATTTATCACTCTCTGTCGTCTGCTGGTTGCCGCGTGCTGTCCGGGTCATGAATAAATGTTTTTTTAAATACACGGTATCGATACCTATAACCTTCTGTCGTCTGCTCGTGGTCGCGTGTTGTCAGGATAATAAATAAACGTTATTAAATATTCGATATCGATACCCATGCTTCACTTTATCGTATGCTTGTGGTCGCGTGTATGACAGTGTTTGAATAAATATTTAAATATTTAGTATCGATATTCATAACTTTCTGTCATGAATAAAAGTTTTCGGTATCGATATCTATATCTACCGGACCTGGTTAAAAAAATTTAGAAGGATACGTCGTGATCGGTAAACTCATTGGGTTTTGTTGTTGCGCACGTTACTAACTCCTCACACGCCGTCACAAAAACAAGAGAGTACCCCCCTTCTCCCTCAGAGGCGTAGGCATGGGTGGGTGCTGGGTCAGAATTCTCACATGTGACAACTGTCAAGTATTTATTTACATCGGCAGCGATACCATGGTCGTGTCAATGGAGAACAGTGATTTTGCTAGAGGGGTCGGGATCACACAGGGGTGAGGACAATTTGTCACGTGGCCAGTCCTGCCAGGACTAATTCTCGTGCTTGTCCTCATGATCCGTCACTGCCCCCCCCCCCCCCGCCCAATCATGCTGGTAATTTTACCGACTTGTTACGTATTTACATCAAATAACCAGTTTCATAGCTTTTAAAAGTAGAACAATCTAGATGAAAATACACGATACGTCTTACTTCGTTTGAAATTAGAGAAGACCAATGGCAATGATAGTCTAGAATGCAACATTGTTTTATCCACCCCCCCTATAAGTCACTACGAGGCTCCTCCCACCTACCTAAGTATAGTGTGGAGCTTACAATGCAAACCCAGCCCCCCCCCCCTCAACTCAGCCCCTATGATACAGTCATGTAAGGCCCCACCCAACGCTTGCTACGTTTCAGAGCGGCCATTTAAAAAAAAATCAATTTTAGACAGATTCAGAGTACATAGTCATTCCCTGAGTAAAAAGTCGAATCAATTTAAACGATGAAGATTACCGCTCTGTCTTGTGATAAGTAGTTTAACTAGAAGGTACCTTGGTTTGTGGTCTGTTATAATGTTGTCCTTTTTCTGTTACTAAATCTTTTGTTTTTAGGTTTAAATTTAATACGACGATTTAGTCTGTTATTTAGTCGTAAAACTACAGAGATAATTAGTAGCTCAACGATATTTATTGTTCAAAGACACGGTCAGAACGAATGGTGTAGTCTAACCAAATAGTAGCTGTTGTCAGAAATCAAAATTAATTCATGGTAATAATTATTGAAGAACAAAGTTATAAGAAAAAGTTTAGGTAAACTTATAACATTATAAAGCTGAGAGAAACAGCGCACATTAATTTAACCATGAGTCTGCTTTGAGATTCTATTTCGTAAATCTACCTGTATTAACAACTCACACGACCTAGGTAGACTCGATACCTTTTAATACGTGATAAATATGAACAATATGACTTATTTCAATGACTTCTGTTTGTCATACCTGCTTGACATTACACATGTCATCAGCTTATCATAGATACATGTCATGACATCATTTGTAACAACATACAGGAGAACTGACCATCACGACAATTACATTGCTTCTTAGATTAATTTATACGTGCTGTTTTACACGTACAGTACTTGTATTTTAGGAGTTTTGTTCGTCTCTAAATGAACTGAGACAGCTAAATGTCGGACTTAGGACAAAATTAATAAATTAAAAGACGTCTAAATGTCTCATTGACTTAAGACAGCTCAAAATCAAAACGTAGCTAAAAAACAACAGCCCTCGTAAATCGCGAAGAAGAAAGAAACTGGTTCCCATGGCAACAGTGTTCAGCGTGTCTGGCCCTGTCTGGACCGGAAGTGTGCTGTCCCCGTCCACGGAGGCGAGCCCGAGGGTGCAGGTGGACCTAGGGGAGGAGTTCTACAGCTGGTTCAGTCTGGTGGTGTCCGTCTTCGTGTCCGGTGGGGTCAGTGGATGTGGTGTTGTCACAAATATCATCAACATCATGGTGTTTGTAAGGCAAGGTAGGTCATTAGAACATCATGGTGTTTGTAAGGCAAGGTAGGTCATTAGAACATCATCAACATCATGGTGTTTGTAAGGCAAGGTAGGTCATTAGAACATCATCAACATCATGGTGTTTGTAAGGCAAGGTAGGTCATTAGAACATCATCAACATCATGGTGTTTGTAAGGCAAGGTAGGTCATTAGAACATCATCAACATCATGGTGTTTGTAAGGCAAGGTAGGTCATTAGATCATCATCATGGTGTTTGTACGACAAGGTAGGTCACTAGAATATCATCAATATCATGGTGTTTGTACGACAAGGTAGGTCATTAGAATATCATCAATATCATGGTGTTTGTACGACAAGGTAGGTCACTAGAATATCATCAATATCATGGTGTTTTTACGACAAGGTAGGTCACTAGAATATCATCAATATCATGGTGTTTGTACGACAAGGTAGGTCACTAGAATATCATCAATATCATGGTGTTTGTAAGGCAAGGTAGGTCATTAGAACATCATCAACATCATGGTGTTTGTAAGGCAAGGTAGGTCATTAGAACATCATCAACATCATGGTGTTTGTAAGGCAAGGTAGGTCATTAGAACATCATCAACATCATGGTGTTTGTAAGGCAAGGTAGGTCATTAGAACATCATCAACATCATGGTGTTTGTAAGGCAAGGTAGGTCATTAGAACATCATCAACATCATGGTGTTTGTAAGGCAAGGTAGGTCATTAGAACATCATCAACATCATGGTGTTTGTAAGGCAAGGTAGGTCATTAGAACATCATCAACATCATGGTGTTTGTAAGGCAAGGTAGGTCATTAGAACATCATCAACATCATGGTGTTTGTAAGGCAAGGTAGGTCATTAGATCATCATCATGGTGTTTGTACGACAAGGTAGGTCACTAGAATATCATCAATATCATGGTGTTTGTACGACAAGGTAGGTCATTAGAATATCATCAATATCATGGTGTTTGTACGACAAGGTAGGTCACTAGAATATCATCAATATCATGGTGTTTTTACGACAAGGTAGGTCACTAGAATATCATCAATATCATGGTGTTTGTACGACAAGGTAGGTCACTAGAATATCATCAATATCATGGTGTTTGTACGACAAGGTAGGTCATTAGAATATCATCAATATCATGGTGTTTGTACGACAAGGTAGGTCATTAGAATATCATCAACATCATGGTGTTTGTACGACAAGGTAGGTCATTAGAATATCATGATGTTTGTTAAACAAGGTAGCTCTCTAGAACATCATCAACATCATGGTGTTTGTACGACAAGGTAGGTCATTAGAATATCATCAATATCATGGTGTTTGTACGACAAGGTAGGTCACTAGAATATCATCAATATCATGGTGTTTGTAAGGCAAGGTAGGTCATTAGAACATCATCAACATCATGGTGTTTGTAAGGCAAGGTAGGTCATTAGAACATCATCAACATCATGGTGTTTGTAAGGCAAGGTAGGTCATTAGAACATCATCAACATCATGGTGTTTGTAAGGCAAGGTAGGTCATTAGAACATCATCAACATCATGGTGTTTGTAAGGCAAGGTAGGTCATTAGAACATCATCAACATCATGGTGTTTGTAAGGCAAGGTAGGTCATTAGAACATCATCAACATCATGGTGTTTGTAAGGCAAGGTAGGTCATTAGAACATCATCAACATCATGGTGTTTGTAAGGCAAGGTAGGTCATTAGAACATCATCAACATCATGGTGTTTGTAAGGCAAGGTAGGTCATTAGAACATCATCAACATCATGGTGTTTGTAAGGCAAGGTAGGTCATTAGAACATCATCAACATCATGGTGTTTGTAAGGCAAGGTAGGTCATTAGATCATCATCATGGTGTTTGTACGACAAGGTAGGTCACTAGAATATCATCAATATCATGGTGTTTGTACGACAAGGTAGGTCATTAGAATATCATCAATATCATGGTGTTTGTACGACAAGGTAGGTCACTAGAATATCATCAATATCATGGTGTTTTTACGACAAGGTAGGTCACTAGAATATCATCAATATCATGGTGTTTGTACGACAAGGTAGGTCATTAGAATATCATCAATATCATGGTGTTTGTACGACAAGGTAGGTCATTAGAATATCATCAACATCATGGTGTTTGTACGACAAGGTAGGTCATTAGAATATCATGATGTTTGTTAAACAAGGTAGCTCACTAGAACATCATCAACATCATGGTGTTTGTACGACAAGGTAGGTCATTAGAATATCATCAATATCATGGTGTTTGTACGACAAGGTAGGTCACTAGAATATCATCAATATCATGGTGTTTGTACGACAAGGTAGGTCATTAGAATATCATCAATACCATGGTGTTTGTACAACAAGGTAGGTCATTAGAATATCATCAACATCATGGTGTTTGTACGACAAGGTAGGTCATTAGAATATCATGATGTTTGTTAAACAAGGTAGGTCACTAGAACATCATGGTGTTTGTAAGATGTAGGTCACTAGAACATCATCAACATCATGGTGTTTGTACGACAAGGTAGGTCACTAGAATATCATCAATATCATGGTGTTTGTACGACAAGGTAGGTCATTAGAATATCATCAATATCATGGTGTTTGTACGACAAGGTAGGTCATTAGAATATCATCAACATCATGGTGTTTGTACGACAAGGTAGGTCACTAGAACATCATCAACATCATGGTGTTTGTACGACAAGGTAGGTCACTAGAATATCATCAATATCATGGTGTTTGTACGACAAGGTAGGTCATTAGAATATCATCAACATCATGGTGTTTGTACGACAAGGTAGGTCACTAGAACATCATTAACATCATGGTGTTTGTACGACAAGGTAGGTCACTAGAATATCATCAACATCATGGTGTTTGT